GTTATTTTTTTTTTTTCGTTGAAGAGACTGGAGTCCGTGTTGAGGAAAACACCTTGGTGGCTGCAGCATCCGACAGTGGCAGCAGCAGCAGGGTGATGGGTACCTAAGCCATCAGTAGAACATCCCCTGAGGATACAGGTCGGGCTGCGGGACCCCCCCGCCCCCCACACACACACACACACACGCAAATTTCGTGCACAGGGCCTCTAGTTAATATATATCAGCTCAAATTTAGATGCAGACCCATAAACTTTCCTAAAAGTTTTTATTTCCTAAATAGATAGTTCTTCAACTATCTATGAAGAAAATAACTAATGATGGGAAGAGATTAAACAAAGAACTTATATACATATATGCATAGCCTGTGGACCTGTGCATACTCAGCGTTTGAACCTTCTGGTGATAGTTAGAATGGGGAGACAATGAAACAATCCCAAAGGAATCACCACAAAAGGAAATAAGTGAAACTGAGGCATGAAACATGACTGAAAAAGAATTCAGAGTAATGGTCATACAGTTCATACACTGGATGGACGAAAAAAATCAACAAACTATGCAAAAAATGAGGAAGAAATCAAAAGTGAAATAGCTACAATTAAAAACACCATGGAAGATTTCAACAGTAGACTAGAAGAAGCAGAGGACTGAATTAGTGAGTTTGAAGAAAAGGTAAGGAAACACGCCCAGTCTGAATAGCAACTGGAGAACAAAATTAAAAAGCAGGAGAAGAGCCTAAGGGAGCTTTGGGACAACACAAAACGAAGTAACATAGTTTAATAGGGCTGGCAGAAGGACAAGAAGAGCAGCAAGGATTACAAAATCTATTTGAAGAAATAATGACAGAAAACTTCCCGGATATGGGGAAGAAAAATGTTACACAAGTCCACACAGTCATTTTTCCTCAAGCAAGAGGAAACCCAAAAGACCCATACCAAGACACATCATAATTACAATGACAAAATTTTAAGGACAAAGAGAGACTCTTAAAGGCTGCAAGAGAGAGACAGGGTTACTTACAAAGGATCCCCCATCAGATTATCAAATGATTTCTCAACAGAAACACATCAAACTAGAAGGGAATGGAAAGAAGCATACAAAGTGATGCAAAACAAAGGACTAGGTCCAAGAATACTTTATCCAGCAACACTATCAATCAAAATTGAAGGAGAAATCAGGACCTTCTCAGACAAGAAAAGGCTAAGGCAGTTTACAGTACCAAGACAGCAATGCAAGAAATGCTAAAGGGGATGCTGTAAAAAGAAATAGAAAGGGAGGAAGGAACACAGGCATAAAGTACAGAAATGGCTACAAACAAGTATCTATCAAT